AACAGAGTATTTATGAATAATATCTAAAGCATTTTTACGTTTTGTATTATTTGCTTTTGACATAAAAAAAGTATATTTTGACGTCATCTTTACTCTCCGTTTCTTACCTATAATTCTATAATACCGAAGAATTGTTACAAAATAATGACAGCGCATTTAACACCGAATACTAGATACACATTTTACGGTTGCAATTCTATAGTTCATTAGATAAATTCGTAATAATCTTGATTATTACATGTTTTACTGTTTTTATGCGTGTTTTAAAACTATAAAGTACTAACATTATTTGTATATAAAAGTTAGCAGAATGGAAGTTCGACCCTTGATATCAGTTGGTGGATGTTTCCTGATTTGTCTGGCAATCGGTACACCACTAACGTTTTGAAACCTCACTCCTTACTTAACTTCTTACCTGAGGCAAAGAGGCAGGAAGGACACAACGTATGAAGAAACTAGCTGGATATTCTATGCATTTATCTCTACATGTTCACTGCTTTATTTTGGTGGCAAACTAGGTTGTCTCATTGGACGTCGTTGGAGCATGATTATTGGTTCTTGTATTTTTAGGTAAGATGTACATTTACATATGTATTTAATAATAGTAACTGATAAAAACAATTCCAACAAGGCTATTAAAATCATGGATGTAAATAATAACAAAACACCTGTAAATAACCAAAGTCACAGTAATGTTTCTATCAACACAGAGATGTCATATGATTTAAATGGAAGAGAAGGGAACATTTTGACAGAATTTCATGGGTCGTTAGAAGATTTTGAGGTTTTATGAAGTGAAAATTAATAAACAAATGGTTTGGCATTCGACTTATTTCACAATCTATGGGGAATACATTTATCTCTAGTGCCGGACTGTGGTAGAACCAAACTCTACAGAACGGTATTAACGGTTGAATGAGTTTCTCTATATCCAAAAAATAAAACATCATCACTGGGGACACAAACACAATCCCAATTTGTTTATTAACCAGACTTCTTTCAATAGCCAAATAGGCTGAGGCTTTCAAGGAACTAAAAGTCATGAAGAACCAAGTTTAGAGTTATAGAACCAATAACTAGTTCCTGGGCATCACTTATTGTACATGTGAAGAATAAGAAAGATTGATCCACAAGGTTTTGCATGGACTATCAGAAGATGAAAGAAGCTAGAAAGAAGGAGGCCTGTCCTCTGTTAGGGATTTATTCTGTTCGGAATGATCTACCTGGATAAAAAATGGTTTTCCAAATTAGGTCTTAACAAAGGACATTGGCAAGT